TAGCTTAAGTATATAATTAACAATCACCTGCTCCTTAGTATTAGTTAGGCTCTGTAATTTAGGCATAGAATTAACTTGTGAAGGTCGTCCAGCGCGTTGGTCGCTTAGTGTCTGTAGGGGAGCTCTATAGATAGCTGCAGCGCGCTGTAGAGAGAGAGTCGTGTCTTGTTTAAGAGCTTGAAGCGCAAGCTGTATCTGAGCTTCTTTTAACGCGTCTGACTGGCGTTTGTGGAGAGGCATTGGTGTAGTAAGGGTGTTTTGGTAGGGTCTTGGCAAAAGTGTCCGACTCGCCCGTGTGTCCGACTCGCCCGTGGGGTACGTTACCCTACCCATCCGCCAGCCTACCAGAGCTCTAGAAGCGGTGGACCCGCCCATACGATCGCCAGCGGGCTGCCTGCGAGGACCTAGCAGTTATCCAGCCCTGGTTCACGCTTGTTCAGTCTATAAAGGCGAAGTATAGTATTATAGACAAGGATGTGTACAACTTTAATAAGTCTAGCTTCCTAATAGGCAAGATATTATTACAGCTAGTAGTAACAGGCTTAGAGAAGCCTAGGAAGTAGAAGAAGATCTAACCTAGTAATTGTAAGTAGGTTACCCTAGTATAAGGCGTTAGGTTAACAGGGAAGGTTATCCTACTATTCCTTATCCTTGCAGGCAAGGTTCTTATCTCTAACTAGTTTACTAAGGACCTCCTACAGGACTAGGTTATTAATATTAGTCCTACTAGCTGGACTAACAATAATCTAGCGCTTGCCTGGCTCCACTACTTTAATACGCATGCGAAGCCAGTTAGGGTCTACCAGCTACTTATTATTGACGGCCATGAGAGCCACTGCTTAGTAGCTTTCCAAGATCTCTGCAGAGAGAAGATAATCACTCTCTGTATGCCCCCGCACTCGTCGCACCTGTTGCAGCCACTTGACGTCGCCTGCTTCTCGCCACTAAAGCGCCTGTATAGCGACGAGGTTTCGGCCTTAGCACGCAGTTGCATCTACTATATTAACAAGGAAACCTTCCTGCCAGCCTTTAAATTAGCGTTTAGTAAGGCTTTTACTAGAGAGAACGTTTGTGCAGGCTTTAGAGGTGCTAGGCTAGTCCTACACAACCTAGAGGTGGTGTTATCAAAGCTTAATGTGCGCCTGCGCACGCCAACGCCACCAAAACCTAGCAACGTTGCCTAGGAGCCAAAGACACCACGCACTGCTTACGAAGTAGAGGAGCAGTCAACTCTAATTTAAAAGCAGATTTAAATCTATTAAGGGTCTCTAGCAAGTTTATTAGATAAGCAGGTTAAATAGTTAGTAAAGGGCGCTTAGCAGATAGCTTATAATATAGTGTTAATACAGGAGGAAATAGGCTACCTTTAAGACGCTGTAGAAGCGTCTACAAAGTGCAAGACCTATAAGTAATAATATATACACATAGAGGAGACCCTTATAGTTAGTAAAGTAGCTAACTTAATTACTAAAAAGGAGGGTAGGGGTTGTAGTAAGGGTAAGACACCTGCAAAGAGGGTACGTGTTAGACAACACTATAGGTGTTATAGTAAGATTAGACACAATTCCTACACTTGCAAGGTAGAAATAGAGGACGCAGATAATAGTAAAGCTTCTAAATAATACTATCTAGGCCTGCAAATAATTATTTATTCGTGTTGTGTTGTGATATAGCGCTGCGCAGGCGTTCTGTTGTTGAAAGTGCGGCGCTCGGTTGGGTGCGGCGCTCGCTTGTGAAACACGTTATACTTTTATTATATTTGTCAGATAAGAGCGAGCGGCGAGAGGTCGGATCTGCGCAATCGAGCAGGGACCTGTCGTGCAGCCAATCAGCAGTTGCCAGGTCGATTAAGCGAGACCTGGCAACTCCTGATTGGCCCGCACACCGGCGGCCGCGAACAGCGCTAATTCCCCCCCACTTCAATCCTGTAGCAACCAGCACGACGCCAGGGCAGAAACACCATCGCCACGATCATCAATATATCATCATACCACCTAAGATCTCGTTAAGCACATACTCTGGCTCACAGTACGAGCATCTGACAATATTAATATACTACTAAGTCTCCTCTTTAAAATAAGCTATTAAACAATATTATAGGCCTATTAATAGAATAGTTATTAAGCGTAAAAGGTTTTAAGCTTAATGTTCCTTGCTAAGATACTAAGTTAAGATTCTTTGCTAGGGCTCTAGCAGCCTAAATGTTAGAAAATACAAGAATATTATTTAAGAATAGTAGGTAAACTAAGAATTCTATGCCTAGGCCTGCCTGTTCCGCAGTGTGTGCTTGTTTTGTTAGCAGGTGCATTGTTGTGTGCTGTTGCAGCTGCTACGTCGTGTGCTGTTGCAGCTGCAGCTGATGTGTTGTGTGCTGGCGCAGCCGCAGCTGCCATGGTGTGCTGTCGCAACTTTAAAACACAAACCTTTAACAAACAAACTTTCAACACTCTATAACTTGCATTGTAGTAGGCCTATAATAATAATTTTTTGCTTATTTTAAAGCTATAATTTCGCTCTATCTGTGCATGAAATTTTGCAATTTTTAAATATTTAATACTAGTACTAGCAGAACTAAGGGTAGCTATGCAACGACGTTGTAACGTTGTTTTAAGTTTATTAAATATAGGTACTTAGCGTTTTGGCTGTTAGCAACGTTAGCGTGAAATTAGGGCTGTTGGGCGCAAATTGGGGCTGTTAGGGCCATTGAACGGCCGTTGCACGACTATGCCACGACTGTCAGCAACAGCTAGTCTGGGCCGGATTTCGAAAAACTTTTCCCGATGTAGGTTTCTCACCAATCCAGGCATCAGCCACTAAGATGCTGCGGACCAGGTCCTTCTATATCTACTTAACACTAAACAGCAATCACTGCAGCTTAGAGGAGGCATTAGCCTCTAGGTAGCAAGTAACGCGTCCTTTGCTAACAACACTATAGATAGAAAGAGCTCCTAAGGCTACGTAATTAAACTCTTTAGCAGCCTTATTATATAGAAAGTAAAAAAGTAGGACATAACGTACTCTATGTATCACCGAGCCGGTCATATCACCAAACCAGTCAAAATCTGCCAAGACTAACACAACTCCGCACTTTACGGTATGTCTTAACAACATCACGACCTATTGCTTCAACACGAAGGGAGACTGCAGCTTGCTCTCCAGGCCTACAATACCAGACAGTTTCAGAGCCATCAGGCTGCTGCTGCTGCATTCAACGTTAACCAACGCAGGCTCTCTGAACGCGCTAGCAATACTCCATTTTGACTTAACGTACGCGCAAACTGCTAGAAGCTTACTGCAACTAAAGAGCAGACAATTGTCTAATATATCCTTAACCTTAATTTGTGAGGATTTGCGCCTCAGCTGTGTAAGGTGGCAGATATAGCTAATAAACTATTAGGTGTGCGTAGTAGGGAGCCTGTTAGTAAACTCTAGGCTATAAGATTTGTAACGCGTTTAGATTAGCTTAAGATAGCGTTTAACTAAGCAAAGGACAGACAGAGGATACTGTAGGAAGATCCTAAGGTAATTAACGCGTGGTTTATGCTAGTAGAGGGTACTAAGGCTAAGTATAGCATCTACAACAATAACGTGCACAACTTTAATAAGACTAGGTTCTAGATAGGTGTGATAGGGTTAATAAAGGTTGTCACAGGCGCTGAGAGACGCGCTCAACCTAAGCTTGTTCAGCCAGGCGATTGGGAGTGGGTTACAGTTATACAGAGCATCTGCGCTGCTGGATATGCGACCCCGCCTTTCATCATCTACAAAGGACGCATCCACATCTCTGCCTAGTACGAGGAGACAGATATACTACACAATTAGAAGCTCTCTGTCTCTAAGAACAGCTAGACAAACAACACGCTTAGCCTTAAGTAGTTAAAGCATTTTAACGCGCATACAAGAGCGCGTTAGGTAGGGGGATACAGGCTACTTATCTTAGACAGCTATAAGAGCTACCTTAACTAGGATTTTAAGGACTATTGCCTAGATAACAAGATCCTTACTCTCTGTATGCTAGCTTACTCGTCACACATCCTCCAGCTGCTTGACGTGGTCTGTTTCTCGCCGTTAAAGCGCAAGTACTCCTAACGCGTCCAGGACTTAGCACGCTGACGCATCTTCTACATTAACAAGGAAGGCTTCCTTCTAGCCTTTAGAGACGCGTTTCTTAACGTGTTTACAAAGGCTAACTATTAGAAGGCCTTTAAGGCATTAGGGCTAGTCCCTACTAACGCGCAGGTAGTGTTAGATCGCCTTAAGGTGCAACACTGTACCCTACTAGCACCCCCTCTACTAGAGACACTGTGGCAGTCAAGGACTCTAAGTAATACACACAAGTTTAGGTCTTAGTTAAAGCTTGTACATAACTCCTTTACTTAGTTACTAGTTACAGCCTAGGCTGGCTTCTCTTAGCTTATTAAAGGTGGTGAATTAATGCTGCACCAAAACGCGCTGCAAGCTGCTCGCATTACTGAGCTTGAAGAGCAATTAGCAGTCATGACTAGGAGAAAGTCGCGCAAGCGAAAGCAAATTCAGCATGGCGGCACACTTGAGTATGGCCCAGCAGCATCACGGGTAGCTGCTGAGGTGTCTGTAGCAGCTCAGCCATCAAAGAAGACTCGTGGTGCAGGTACTTAAGAAAGGACCTAGTTAGCCCAACGGCGCTGTAGAAACTGTGGAGGCACAGGGCACAACGCTCGAACGTGTTAGAAAGATACAGAAGAAGATTCTGAATCTAATGAAAGCACGCAGTACGCTGGATCTAGGCTGGCGGATGGGTAGGGTATGCTTTTTTACGTTTTGGCTTATAGCTTCTTAACTAGCAGAGATACGCTTACAT